GTTTTATGTTATTTGATACGGTATCATGAGTGCATGTGTGGTGCATCATTGTAACTTCTGTATTGTTAGCCAGGCATATCTGAAAGAGCAATATAATAAATGTATATGAATGTATAATGTTATGAGATATAAGCTTTTTAGTCTAAAAATTTATGTTTTCATATTATAATTTGTGTTCATTCTAGAATGAAAGAGGCATAATTTATATTTATTTCCTACTTTTTTATGGTGGTTGTGTGATCAGTCAAATGTACCGAACCCGTACTTAAGAAATGTTTGAAAAATATCTGGACATTATAAAGATTTCGCATGTGAAGTTTGAAAAGTTTCTGATGCATAAAAGTATTTTTAAACTTAAAATGAAAATTACTTTGCATGTTGAATAGGCAACATGTGAAAAGAAAAAATAGGCATGAAAAAGATATTGCTTTACAAACCATAAGATTTAATATAAACAAAAAATTGATATTTTGCATATGAAAGCATTGTAATGCTTACTGATAATCTGCCAAATTTCATTAATATTTGCTTACTAATTTAAAGGTTATAGCATGAAAATTATAACAAGAATAAAGTGGTTACCAGGTTGGTCCCAGGGATTGAGCCTATGCTGAAAGAGTTAAGCAAAGGAATCCTTTAAACCCAAAATAGAGGACAGAATCCCATTTTACAAGTCATTATGAAGCTCAACCAACAGAATAGCAAAGTATGTCCACACATATCTCACATGAGTATTTCTCAAAGATGAAAGCCATAAAACTGAGATTTTTGTAATCCTTTAAGATTGAAATATTCTCATTTGTTGATTTTGTGTGGATGAAAATCTATTCCTGCCAATCTCTTTGCAATTGCTCCTGTGTTTTCCAGTGATATATTGATATCAGTTAGTTGAATAGATTTTGTACAAAAATATTTTCTATTTAGAAAACTATAGCAACTTGTTATTTCAGGAAGAAGAAGAATATATTTGGGTTTTGGTTTCAACTGGAATAAATATTAAATTCATACGTATTTGGCATAGCTTCTTTCTGTTGATCTAATGCTTAGTTTCACACACTTTGGACTCAATAAGTCAGGGACACCATGTGATGGTTAAAAAGAGGGCACATAATCTGAGTTTATACTGAGATACTGCTGGTAGCATTTATTGCAGATTAAGTCATCTTCAGATGCAGACAGTTTCTTTACACTCAGAAGATAAGTTCTCAATATTATTATGTTCAGAAGCAGATCTTGTCCTCTTTGGGTTTTGGTATAAAACTGTAAATAGCACATCTATATTATTTAAGCATTGTGAACCAGATAACTGTGCTGATTACAAGAAGAATGAAAAGTTTGCTTTCAAGTGTATAGATAGCAATGTGACAGATTCTTATTGATTGACAAAGTGAACATGTGGAATAAACCATTTGGACAAAAACCAGCAAAATGTGTGACTGGCTATATTGATAATGATGTGTGTCCACTAGCTTGATTTGTTGCATTTAACTCTCTCAACATAGGCTTGGTCAATTTGACCAACCATGTAACCTCTTTGTACTCATTCAAAGTCCTTATAGATTTGATACTACTAACTTTTAATATAGTGTGTATGTCTTTACAAAGTTTGGCAGTCTTTCAGTAAACATTATAAGTCTTTCACATACTAAAAAATAATATTTTTAGTTAAGTATTTTTAATAAACTAAAAATAGATTTGTCCTTGAATATGTATTGAGTATTTGTTTTGAATAGTCCATCTGCAAAGTGATTTTCAGGTTAAGATTAAAAATAGATTTGTCCTTGAATACGTATTGAGTATTTGTTTTGAATAGTCCATCTGCAAAGTGATTTTCAGGTTAAGATTAAAAATAGATTTGTCCTTGAATACGTATTGAGTATTTGTTTTGAATAGTCCATCTGCAAAGTGATTTTCAGGTTAAGATTAAAAATACTTTTGTTCATCTCATAAATCTCAAATTTCATTTGTATAATTCTAAAACCTCCTAAATACATTTCAAATGTTTGTTTTCAGTAGAACTTTATATTTTATCTGTAATTTTCTCTACCCTAAATCTATACAAGGTTGGTCAATTTGACTGACCTCGTAACCATAAAAAAAAAAATCTAAGTTGCCCTCATTTTCTTTCTAGAATGACTTCAAATGTAGAGTGAAACTACATTCATTTATCCTAAGTAGCTTTGAACTCATGACAGTATACATCTATTTATACTTATATTTTATCATTTTATGGCCCTTTGAACCATTTCTAATTACTATTCATACCATTATTAGTTGTAACTCACTTGAGGAATGTGCAGCGCACATTATGCTCTTGAATTATATTACCCATGAGCTGCTCTCGTGTGTGCCTCATAAAATATTTTTATTATATTATTATTATTTATTTTACCTAATTTGACCATAAACAGTCTAAAGAGATCCATATGATATAAAATACATCATTTGATAGATGAAACCTTTGCTTTCTATTGGTTATTGGTAATATATAATTAAACATAAGAGAGAACTATTAACAAATCCTGAAAGAGAAAATGTGACAGATGGGTGTGGCAGAAGGGGTCTGATTTTCTATTTGATAGCTCTGTAACCAAACAAAATTGAAGGATATAGCAATGATGATCTTACAGTGAGTAATTTACATTGAACTTTGTACTTTTTGAAGGGATGATGGATAAAGTAGAGAAGTGAAGATACCTAGAGAAAATGTGTCACACTAGGGAAATTCAGGGTGTTTTTTTAATATTGTCTTATCTAATTAAGAACTTAAACTTATATACAATTAAAATACAGGTTATTAGCTAAACTTTTATGCTATACTAATTGGTATAACTAAACAGAAAGTAGTTTAATAAAATTTTGAATGTAAGACACAAAAACCCTCTGTCGTGTGCATTAAAGGATACCCATGATGACCGGGTTAATTGAATATGTTGCACCCTATCTGATATTTCTGCTAATTTGTGTATGGGACACATCAAACACTAAAAATAAACATGTATAATAAACATTAACAAACTAAAATCAATGTTGATATAATCTATTGGCAAAATGGTTTTTCAAGATAGGTAACTTATGATGGTGTTGTTGTTGAAAAATAATTTCAAACTGGGGAAGTGATCTAAGTTTTCAAAAGTTGACAACAATAATCTAAAGCTACAAGGACTATATTAATCATAAAATAAACCAGAACACTTTTCACTTAATGACAATACAATACTTGAAAATATTGTTAGTTGTGTTAGTTGCCATTTCCTATAAGCACTATACCCAACTTGTACAGAGGGTTGAGTATCTTATATTTAAACAAAATTTAATATGCACATTAGAAAGTCATGTGTCAATCACAGCTGATATAAAGTCATGATGGAATGAGATATATCAGAACAACATTTTGACATTGTTTAGTATTTTTATAGATAGTTATTCTATTAACAATTGATTGTTTCTGACATAACATATTCACATAAAATGTGTCCAGATCAGGTAATTAGAATTTCCAAGTCAAGATATCCCTTGTACTTATCAGCATTGGAAAATAGAGGAATATGGATTAAATTGAGACAACCAGGACCATCTCAAAAGATACTTGCAATAAGTCATACTCTAGCTATGGTAAGCAAAGTTTACTGTCTTGTAACAGATGAGAATCCACAAATTCAAAGGTCAGTAGCAGAAGCCATCCATGCATTGTAACCAACAGTGTACAACATAATTAAGAAAGATTTCACTGTGGAGATGAAGCCAAAAAGATGTTAATTCACCAAGGTAAGGCTTTCTGTCATACTTCCTGTTCAACCATCATATACCCCAAGTAGCTGGAGAATGAAACTGGTGTTCGTACTGTTCTATATAAAAAAAATACCAGTCAAGTTGCTGGTTGTAACACAAGTGGATTTCTTTGTAATCATACATTATGGATTATAGAAACCCTCCATGAATAAGTTAGTACGCTTTGAACATGACAGTCTTAGTGCCTTTTTCAATGAAAACTAAGCTGCAGGCCTGTTGTCAAGATGCATGATTGTCAGATAGAGTATGACCAGGAAGAGCAACTTGGACTGTAACATTTTCATATAACTTACTCAGTTTCTGTTCTTATTAATCTTTTGACTTGAAACTTGTGAAATCCTTCATTTATTATTTTTTTATAGTACTGAGATACATATTCAGTTTCACTGTAGTGGTTAATTAAGTTGGAAAGTTTTTGTAACTTTGCTCTGGATTGTTTTATTCTTGTTATAAATATTTTGCTGTGCAAATTTATCCACTTTGTTAGAGAGCATTAAAGAATCTCTCTCTCAAAATGTTGTGTACTTTGGTTATACATATACATGATTTAACAGTCTTTTAACACAGATATCCTTGTTTGAAAAGAGATGTGTGACAAATCTCTTCAACCAGAAGTCTACTGTGGTGACATTGATCTGTCAAATAATCAGGAATTCAGATAAACTAAATATCTAGGTACTAAACATTGGTGCCATGGCTCACATATACAATAACTTATTACTCTTTAGCTTATGCAAATTCTTATCATTTGTAATTAACCGTCTCTACATTTTAGAGCTGGCATATATGTTTTTCTTCAGTAAAATTGTGTTTCTCTCAATACAAAATTAAACAAATATCATTTACCCATGACAGAAATAGCTTTGTCTGAATTATTACACCAAATTGTACCCCTTAGTCTCAACTTTGCCTTTAATTTCTGTCATTTCTTAAGAAAATTGTTATTTATTCTTAATTACTTGAAATAACAGTAGTAAAAGAAAAACATTGCCTTAGTGCAGTAGTTACATACAAAACAAAAAATTTATAATGCGGCCTTTAACTGTTGCAAAATTAATATTAATTTATAGTTATGTTGACCTGATTGAACAGAGTTAAATTTCTCTACCTTTATAGATGAATATAATCAGTTTTGTTGTTATGATAGTGTAGAATTCTGCTATTTTTAACGTAATTCATTACTATTATCATAATGTTTGTTTATATAGACAACTCGTACATACACATCGACAGGAACTTATTAGTCAACTTGCTGAATGCTCAGATCCAGCATTATGTCTTCACTTAGCTGTTCTTCTGATTTTTCAAATTCAAACTTCATCCATGCTACATGCTTCTGGGAAGTTTGTTCCACAAATCATTTCATTCTTACAACTTAAAATTCCTGAGGAGGTGTACAAGGTACTGATTGATTGTCAAGGTGAGTTATAGCTTTCTCAACACTAATGTAATTATTTTAATTCAATGTTATAACTTCTCTTGCTTCTTTTTTTATAAAACTATGAGAAAAAATCAAGGTTGTTTTTCAGTTATGTCTGAAGCAAAATTAAAATTCTCACAAGAAGGAACTTACATATTTTCAAACTCAGTTCTGACTGTGTAGGTAAGAGAAACAAGACTAATAAAATGTTTAGTTGTTTTTTTTTCATGTCAAATAGCCCTAATGGGCTGTCTTAGTTTCCACTGTTGCTCACCAGGCAGAATGCTCACACACAATCATTATCACTTCAACCAGACCTCTGTATACCATGTTCTTTGCATTTTTTATCCATTGATGAATGGTCTTCATCACTCCCCTTCAGTGCTATCTTGTATGATGTTTTTCTACAAAGAGTCATCTCCACATCTCAGTAGATATTCAAAGAACCAAAACTTTGCTTTTAGCACATTCACTCTCAATATCAACTAACTTTGTATCTCATCTAAGACTGATCTATTAATTCTCTGGTCTCTCCATGAAACTTTGAGTACTTTTTGGTAACACAACATCTCAAAGGCATCAGAGTGGTTCTCCTTGCTCTTCCTCACGACCTATGACTATTCTATATGGCAGTTGTAAAGATGGTCAATCTTAGAAGACAAGGTTTTATGGCCTCATTGTGAACTCTGCCTTAGATCCAGCTCATTTTATGGCTTTATGTTATGTTTTATGACAGAATGACTGTAATGGGAACTTTCTCTTGAGTTCACCACTGGTTGCACATGATGTCCTGTCTTTACCCATTTAAGCTTTGGCTGTCATGTGCCATCAATGGTGCACACTTTGATTTAAGTAATAATAATCAAATGATCATAATATTTAATTTTTTTTTCTGGCTAATCTTGCCATTTTTTAGAATAATTATGATTATTTCACAATTTTATGGCCATAAAAAAGGGGTATCAGATAAAATAAACCCTACTGTGGATGATAATAGTTCTATCCTTTTTATAGTATAGTTTTTTATTTATGAAAGAAGTCTCAATTTTTTTGCTTCAATTAATCACAATGAAAAATTAAATGCCAATCTCTAGATGTAATTTTAAAATAAAAAATGATTTAATCATGTAAATTTGTTTTATTTCAGTTGTCCTTTCCAGATGGCATTTGTGCTCCACCAGTGGTACATGATGGAAGGCGTGGCTTTATTATAGCTGTCCATTTAAAATAAATGCTATTATATAGAACTTTGGAGATACGAGGTACAGCTATATCTTATGGGTGCTGTGTACCATGGGTGGCTCACGATGTCCAACAGAAAACATGCATATGTACCACTAGTGGTGCATGATGTAGTGAACGTGTTAATGGACACCTCAACCAATTGTGAATTATTCATATTGCTACACTTGATCTTACTGCTAACACTTGGTACAGAGAGCTGACTAACTCAGGCAGATGCTCTGGGAAAATTCATCATATCCATTGTGTTCGGGAAAGCCTCATGTACCACACGGTTAAATGCTTAAAATACTTGCAGAGTGATACCTGAGTTTCACAAGTTAAATGATGTGATCTTTTGACCCTTTACTCTCAAGGAAACCTGCTTGTTTGAGTGCAGTTTGTTCTCCATACTTCTTATAATTCTCTTTAGTAGTACCTTGCTAGAGTTCATATGAGGCTGATCATGCTGTATTTAGAGAACTTTTTTCTCAAATCAGCCTTATTGGATATTGGCGTAAACAATGTGTGATGTCAGTCTTCAGGTCATTCTGCTGTTGTCCAGATCTTATTACAGTCACCACATTAGACAGAAACTTCTCCAGTTCCCTTTTTATTCTTCACATCTGTCAAAGCCTTCCTTATTTCCTCAAGCAGAGGTGGTGGTTTCTCTCTCCACATCCACTGATTATCTGCATTTTTTAATCATTGTTCTCCACACAATACAGCATTTCAGACTACTTTATCTCTTCATGCTGGTGACTGCTTTTCCTTCTAAATCTGTTTTTATGTTTATCCTTGGTGCATATGTCCATAAAAAGTTGTATCAAATTCCCACCTCATGCCCAGAGTACACTTCATTTTTCCTGGATATAGGCTCTTATATCACTGCATAACCAGTTGAGGATCTTATTTAAAACTTTCTACTCCACTCAGTGCTTCTCAACATATATACATGTATTTGTACAAATGTTTTGACCAAATTTTTAAGGGGCATTTCAAAGGGATGCAACAATTACATTCAAATTATTGAAGAACTTTAAACATCAACTTCAGTTACTTGAATGTAACCATATTTGTTTAGTTGTCTTGAAAATCTTTAATTGTATTTTATCATCATCATAATTGTTTTTTTTTCTTTGGTTCAGAAAATGTGGTCAAGCAGCTGACCAGAGGAAGTGATGATGAGAAAGAAGAAATCCAAGCCAGACTGAAAGAACTCGTACCTAGAGTTAAAGAAGTAGCTACAACATACAAGAGAGTTGCAGAAGGAAGTGCCTAATACTGACATGTTGCAGTTTTTGTAGATATAAATACATATGTAATGGTTTATATTGTAGAAAGCATGTTTGGTGTGTCTTCAATAATAATCGTCTATTTTTTACTTTCTGTAACTGCTTCTTAGAGCAAGTTAGTTTAACTGTGCAAGTTCATTATGTGAGGTTGTTGGGGTCATTTATACCACTTTTTTTTATTAGAAAAAACATTTAAACTCTATGGTGACAGAAACTTATGGTTTATGCTTAACTTTTAAAACCTAGTGTATGCAATGGGTAGAGAATTGCAATTCCTTTATCCTCCATATAGCCTTTTCAGCACTTTCATAAACATATTGAAAGTGCTTAACAGTATGTACAAAAAATAACTTTTACATAAAAAATTAAATAAAAGAATTAAATAATTCTTGGGTTATTTTTGGTAAGGCATGATTTTTGTTACTTAGTACCAAAACTTACAAATTCTTAAAAAATAAAGTGTTCTTAAATATCTGGATAATGTTTTTTTTATATGTAAATGGAATCAGTAAATTAGAGAGATGATCAACAAGTGTGTAGGTGACAAAAATGTAACCAGAACAAACCATATATGATGGATTTAGATCAGTATAAGACACAAGAAACTCTCAAGTTAACTTTTCTATTTATTTGTATGCTAAAAAAAAAGATTGATATATAAGGTTGAATATGGTGTAAGAAATAAATTTAGGTTTGGCTTATATAAAAAGTGTGCAATGAAAGATTTTTCCTCTTACTGTGTGTTCATTTAAATAATTCATAGATAGGAATAATCTTCATATCTCAAAAGAAGAACGTCTTTATTTTTCTCAGCATTTTAGTCAGTTTCAAAAAAACAACACACAGCTGTAATTTTGGTTTCTTGTTCACTGAAAGAATGAGAGAATAAAAACCTGTAGTGAAAAAAAAGTTATTCATACCACTCAGAAGTGTCCATATGTCTTCAGTAATGGAAAAACTAGAAATCCAACTATTTTTCTGAGAGAATAGTCAGAAATAATAACTTAGGTTATTTTAATGAATATATAAAACATTAGAATGTGTTGAAATTTCACAAAATATAGAGATGTGGTATTTCAATCAATTTTCATTCTTATCTAACCACACAAAATTGAACATTTGGTTATCAGTATATTTTCTTTCTAAAAGTTGTTATGAAACTTAAAAACTATCTCTGGCTATTTTGATAATGTGAGTACTCGCCCCACCTTCAGAGGTTATTAGTCATCTCAGTAGTAAGTAGTCCAACCCTAATATGCATTGGTCTTCAATGTCAGCCAAGTATACTTTGTGTCTGTACTTCATGCCCTTGAGCTCAATAGTTACCCACACTGGTCCCCACAACCTTGCATAATGTCCTGTCACACCACAGAAGAACATCTGTATGCCTTCTGGTACTCCTTTGTGATCTAGCATCTTGATGCTCACAAGGGTTTGCTGGGATGCAAAATCTATGACAAAGTTAGACCTTTGGCCATCCAGCTTTCCTGTCACGTAGACACTATGTGTACTTGCCATTTTACACTTAGGTGTTGGGACTTTCACAATGGGGATTGGTGGGCGTCCCTCAGCACCAACCACAACTGGTTTCCCGAAGTTGTCTTATTGGTAGTATTGTTTTTACACTGGCTCCTCATATGTCCTTGCTCTCCACAACCTTTCTGGAGCAGCCTTTCCTGCCGTGGCATCTTCCCTGTGTTGAAGTTTCCAGCATTGAGCTTTCTTG